GGAGATTTGGACGAAAATTTTCCTTTGATCCACCGTTATTTCGAGCCTTGTTCTAAAAAAATATTATTTAAGCGATCGTCTAGTTTGATTATTGCTGAATTTTGCTTTCTAATCTTCAAAAAGGTGAGCGAATAAAATTGCTATCGGTTTTCTGTTCAGCGAGGAGGGATGGGGGTGGGGAGGGGTCATACCTGTACCTAATAAGGGTAGTCGTCTGTGCCGAGCCTCAACACTCACAGTTACTATCTAAGGGCAGATATTCGTTTTAACTATATACTTTTACAGCGGTCATCATTGAGGAACTTTAATAAAGGTTTCTCACAGCATGTAGGCATTCTGTCTGCGCATGCGTGTGTCACRAAAGCATCTTYGAGAATGGGCGCCATTTTCTTTGGAACATGTTCTTTTTCGGGTTTTTGCTAGACTAGATCGCAAGGTTTAACACTTCGAATTGTGATAATTTCAATTAGAACCGAGAGTATACACGAGTGACTACACTGGCTATTCTTGATGTATTCCTAGGCTTTATATTTCTGTAGATATATTCCTTGAAATGATCTGAAAATAACGAATTTCATTGAACATATGGTTGTCTTCGTTTTGATTTTGCCTGCTTTTCAATTCAGATTTTCTACCTTACAAGATATTGAGGCGAGTATTTATATAATGAAGTTTCAATGTTGACAATATCAATCTTTGCTTCAGTGCCGATCACCCTTTGCTAATGCTTGGTTTTGTATGTGAAAATTAAAACAGTGCTGCTATTCCTACTATCACCCGTGCTTGTGTTTATCATCATTTTAAAGCTAAGAAGCTATAAAAGCGGGTGGGTATAGTGAAATTATTGAATAAATTGCGTGCGCTTTTGTAAAGCACTATCAATATGGTGCACATGTGTTGCTGAGTGAACTGTGTTGTAACGTATGAATCACTGGCAAAGGTAAATTCGTCGACACAAGATCGAACATGGCTGACTTTTTTTTCCACAAACTACACAAGCACTCTTTGACCTAACAAACTAGGTAGAATTAATAAACAATCAAAGCGAAGCAAGAAAGAGTACACTGCGAATTGAGACCGTCATGATAATTGTTTTGTTTACTTCACGGCGCTCATCTACAAAAGGGCGCGAATCTGCTGGCGGGTAAGCGACGCCGCCGTCTATGACAGGCTCATAACAGCGGTTATTACCACTAATGGCGTTTTTCGCGCGCGTGCGCATAGGCTACCCAACTATTGYTTGAGAGAAAGAAAAGAATGAATGCACACGCTTTTATATTATGTTATCGAATCGGCGTGCGCTGTGGGTTACCTGTGGTATTACGTCACTATCGCGCGCCTCGCGGGATACAAACTAGTCTGTGACAAGGTATGAAACACTGGTCACGTGACAAATATAATTTTGCTCCTTTTTCAACGAAAAACAGTAGAAAACGACGATTTTCTTTCAACAAACAACACATCGTCAGATTGTCTTACTACCTCACGATTTTCATTATGAAATATTTATTACATGACGAGAAAATGAACATTAAGCATTTCACTCGCCGTGGACCGATGTGTGCCCCAGGTAGCTTGTCTATCCCTCCCTACCCATTTTCATTCGGATAGACTTCGAGAGCTTTCGGAAAACATTCGTGAGTTCCTCGAGGTAAAAATGAAAGTCAAGGATAAATTA